GAGCGCGTTCTAATACGTGCGTGTGTATGTATGTGTGCTTAAAAAAGGTGCAGAGTGATTGGAATATCAGACTGAAGGGTTCAGGGTATCTCCTAGTCGAGCAGTCTCGACTAGAGTCTTCTTACTTGTTTTATGATTATTTTATTATTAATATTTCTTTACTTTTCCAATCGAACGCAAGTGTGCGGTCCAATTAGAGCGCACTTAAAATGCGCTACAATTAGCGTGCGCAAATTTTCAAATATTTTTTACTGGTAAAATATTTTTGCGCCAGCTTCGAAAGCGTTTCATTGAATATTTGCTCTCACTGAAATTGAGTTTGTGTTGTTGTTGTTGTTGTTGTTGTTGCTGCTGCTGTTATTGTTGCCATGACGAAATAATTTACAAATTGCGCAAAACTGGTTTTAAACAGTGGCCTAAAGAATTCAACAACAGCGACAACAACTGAATGCTCAATGAATCTTTTTCAGCAGCAGCAGCGACGTCGACTGTTCGCCTCCAGAGCGATTCCCCAGACAATTCTCTGTGCAAAAATCACAAGGAACAAGACCCCAAAAAAAAAAGAAATGAAAACAAACAGAAATGAGTCAAATGGCACGCCCAGTTGCCAGTTAGCAGTTACCAGTTGGCCACTTGGCCAGCTTGTTGGATTGTCCAGTTGCCTGGTTGCCCAGTTGATCGCCTGGCCTAACTCGGAGCTCTAGCGATAAGGCGATAAAAACGCCCACCGAACGCACAGAGAGGCAAAGACTAAGACAGAGGGGGAGAGAGAGTGAGGGCATCCTATAGCGACAAAGGGAAATTGATTCAACAGCATTCATTCGAATTTATTATATAATCAATTTGCTCGGGAATGCGGTTTGGGCTCACACCAAAGAACTTGATTGGGAACCATAGGAACCAGTGGCAGCCAAAAGGACTTGATTATTCCAAACCATTTTCTTTGGGTACTTGGAAATGCAAATCATACCAATGCATTAGATCTTAGTATTTAAGCAGATCTATAAAGATATGTTTAGATCTCATAGTCAATGCCGAAATTGGCTTTGCTGATAGCAGTGGATCTATTAATAATATACATATGTCAAGATCAATTAATACTCAAAGTTAAGATAGAAACTGAAGATAGAGCATTAGATGTAATAAGATTTCACAAGATCTATTAACAGTAACAAGATATATTAAGATATAAGATAGGTCCTGAAGATAGAACGTACGCATTGCATAAGCTATGCTAATATCTAACATTTATTATAATAATAAACAAAGTTAGGACAGGTCATGCCGATAAGAGCAGAAGATCATTTAAGATTAAGCAAGATCTAACAATAAAAAAACTTAAAATAAGTATAAGATTACGTATAATATAGCACAAGCTCTATTGATATACATATGTCAAGATCTATCAGTAATCAAAGCTAATTTGACGGCAGCTATGACCCATAGTAATAGATCTCTATCAGTATCTCTCCATACTCAAAAATAATAGTTTGAGACATTTTAAGAACTACGATTTATTATAATTAATGACTTTTCATAATTACTATGTATATTTATAGTTAGTTTTCCATAGAATTCATACAAAATTTATTGTTGTTTTTCTTTTCTGTTCTTTAACTTATGTAAATTGATTACGATTACCTGGAAATATTATTTTTCATTAGTTTGAAATTCATATGCAAAGAGAAATCCAAATCAAAGTTATGATATTTCCACATTCTATAGATTTTCTAGTGTTGATATTTCAATAATTCCAGTATTTTTAAGCTGCTTTATAATTATTTCTCATCACGATCTACTCTACATATATGTATATCCTCATTTTGCAGTATTTCTTGGCATGTATTTTTTTTAATTGTTTTTGTTTAGATTGTATTTACCCAGAGTTTTGTATGGCAATAAATTAGCAATTAGCTGCATTTGCCATAATACGCACTCGGCATACCAAAACATGAATGCAATCGCTGCAAATTTGCTCCAGTTAAAATGGGGTGTTGGGATCGCTTTGTGCTTCTCTGAGATTGAGCCAAATACCAAGAGAAATAGCAGCTGCGAAAGCGAATCCATTGATAGCAAAGGGAGTGCAAAAGAGTGAGAGGGGTGAGAGGGGTGGGGGGAGCTCTGTTGCCAACGGCTGATGATAGCCGTCATGTCATGTGAGAGAATTTGAAATCAGAGCCAAAGTAATATTTCTTTTTTTCATTTTTATTTTTCTTGTTTTTTGTTGATGTTGCAATTTCTATGCCGTTGAGGCATTAAATTGCATAATTAGCAAGTTCGCCGCTTAGAGCTGTCGAGACGCAGATAGATAGCAGATACGTATACATATACATACATACATACAAATATAATATAGAGGGAGCCATGTAGCATGTGCCTCTGGCTCTGGCACTGGGTCTGGGTCTGGGTCTGGGTCTGGGTCTGGGTCTGGGTCGAAGTCTGGGTCTTACTTTTCGGTCTCTCTTCGCGCAGCTCATACACGTGATCGCGAAATGGAAAGCGCCCTCTTATCTGCTTTATTTATTCAAAGAGCTCACAATTTGCAGCTGGCACAGTTTTATTATTTTTATTTTTTTTTTTTTTTTCGTATTGGCGGCGAGCCACACTCACTCAGAAAACAATTGAGAGTGTGGCTAGATCTCTGCCAAATTCACACGTTGCACTCCGCTAAGCACAATAACAACACGAGGAGAAATAATAAGAAGAAGAAATAATGATAGAGTGCTCTACTGAAGCTAGCCGGACTAGACGGATGGATGCTACAGATATATGTATATATATACTTGTACTAGCCATAATTGCATAGAGCTGCAGTTTCACTGATGATGATTGATGATATAGGTATATATATATGTAAAATAAGGGAAAACAATATCTGTATTATTATTAGAAAATAGTATAAATATGATTTTTAAGGACTTTATAGAAGTAAAATATGATCGTATATGATATCTAGAATGCATAAATCGACTCTAGAAATACATATAAAAATTTCTATATAATACACTAAATATTTATACAGTTGATCTATATTAATCAAACTAATTTATATAATATTTTATATAAATTAGTGGTACCTATTAGCAGCACTTGAAACATCTTAAAGCCATATTTATATTTATTTATATTTCTATACGTTTTATAATTAATTTCTTATAATTATTTTATTAATTTTTTTTTTAAATATCCAAAACATCCTCTCTATTAGTATTCTATTCTAGATTTGCTTTTACGGAAAAATAAAAATGGAATTTCATAACCGGAAATAATGAAACACCAAAAATCTGTTTAATAGCTTAATCAGTTTGAAGAAAACCTAATAGTCAACATCATCATCGCGATGCTCATCTTCTTCATAATGACCATTGCGATTAACATAATAAAAATTGATTGAAAATTTGATTTTCCCTGGGGAGCATATATGTATATACATACATACACTTATACATACATACAAATGTATATCTGTTTTTATTAAGGCTTTTAGAGTGGAATGCATTTTTGATTAATTACAAGGCGCTGGGACTGCAGCCAGCCGCCCGGAACCCTTGCCCCAATCAGAACCCTATACCATTTGTCTTATTCTTCTTCATATGCGCTCTACTGCCACTGCCACCGCCACTGCCACGGCCACTGCCACCGCCTTGTGCATTACAGCGCGTTGTACCTGTCCGTGTCTCATGTGGATGGTGTTCAAGACAAAGACGATGAACAAGAAGAAGAAGCAGCAGCAGCAAATGACGGTAGAGGAAGGTTGGGCCCTTAATTTGGCTGCCCCTGAGAAGTTGAGAAGTTACGAGCAGATCTTTTTCGGGTTCAACCGAGTTCACAATGCGCTCTGTCTTTGGGTTCTTAAAGGTATTTATTTACTTTATTTTCATTTTTATTCTGTGGTCTTGGCTTATGCTCTGCCCTGTCCCTCGGCATGGCTTTTCGATTATGTTAGTTGTTGTTATCATCTTTTCTTTTTTCTTTTTTTTTTTTTTTTCATTTACATATATTTCTATCTTGTTTTTAAGGAATACTCTTACAAAAAGAATGTGTAGAGCTTTGATCCATTAGAACCATTAAAAAGCTTTCATTTCATTAATAATAATTTTCAGAAATTAATAATAATAATAATAATGCCGGCGTTATTTATGTAAACAATCCATACTCGCTTAAAAGTTTGCATATAAATGACTCAAAGAGCTTAGTTCTTCGACTTAGCTGCACGAATGTGTTAATATTTGGACTCATTTGGTTGACTGTTTCTTTCTCCGGCTTTTTGGTGCGTTTTTTTTATTTTTTTTATTGGGTCGTCGCTTATCATTATTCAAATATTTTACCTAGACACACACGCACACGCATTCCGATCTCGTCTACCATCTTTCCAATGAGCGATAACAATTACATGTGCACACGCATTCACACACATACACACACATTTAATTGTATATGTATATATACACTTTCGACTTCTTTTGGGTTCGACTTTCGTAATTACACAAACAACTGACGCTCTCAAGTGCAGCATTTCCGCTGCTCGATATTAAACAGGGGGATGAAAACCCATAAAACCGAGGTGCATGCGAGAGGGGGAGACGTGGTGGTGGAGGGGTGCAATAATATATGTATGTATGTATTTTACTCACCTTGCCGGCTGCCTTTTTGTAGCGTCGCGTGGCCTCGCTGATCAAATCCCGGACGAGCAGCTCGCCGGTGCCGCAAGGCACCAAAATGCGAACATCGCCGAAGCAAACGGTAACCTTCATAGTTTCGATAACACTTTTTCGATAACACTTTAATTAAATATATTAATAAGAATGCACTTGTGTGGAATGTATTTATGCAGTTGCAGTCGTTGTCGTTCTCGTTGTTCTTGTTATTGCAGTTATTATTATTAATGTAGATACATATTTTGCTCATCCGTACGTTGTTCTTGCTGTTGTTGTGGTTGTTGTTGTTGTTGTTGTTGCTGTCGTTGTCTGTTACTGGCATTTGGCTTTGGCATCATCTTCTCCTTTCATCTGCTCCTCAGGCAGCTGCATACGTTTATTTGCCTGTATCTGTATGTGTGCGTGCGCGTTGCTATTCATCTAGCTGGACAGTGTGGCATGCGAGCGAGTGAGCGAGATGGCCTGCACTACCATGCTTAAAGGACTTTGGCGTCGCTGCTGCGGCTGCGGCTACGGCTGCGCACTTGACAGCAGCTGTACACACGACGGGAAAAAACGTTTTTTTTTTTTTGTTCACCTACCACCAGACAGAAAGAACTATCGCGTGTGCGTGCGCGCTTAAAGGTGCGTATGTGTGTGTGCGAGTGTCTCTTGCTCTCTGTAAGCGTCTGTGTGTGAAAGAGCGCCGCTTTGTATTGTTTTATTTTGTTATCGTTTTTTATCTCTCGCGCTCTCAATGCAGGATGCACTCGTCTCGCTCTTTTAGCTGTTTTACGCTTTGCCTTTTACTTTGTTTATTTCATTTAGCATATTTCACTGCATTTTCTGCTAGCGGTTGTTGTTGCTTGTATGAATCACACGCGCAAAACGAGTTACAATAACAACATTTCAACAAAACAAAAAATAAGGCAAACAACAGGCCAAGATCATCGGAAACGTCGTAACCGAACGCAACAACAACAACAAAAAAATAAAACACGTTAGACAACAACAATAATACCAGCTGCACACCGCTAACTGCAACGGCAATGGCAAATTTTTGTTGTACCACAAAAACAAAAAATTCAAAATAAAAAATACACAATTCGGTTGCTTGACTCGCGTTTTTTTGTTTTAGCAGCTTTTTGCTTTATTGAAAAGTTAAATTGTCTCTTTTACCAACTGGTGGCACAGATATTCCGTTCGATCATTTTTCGTCGCACCGTTCGCAACGTCGTTTCGTGGTTATCTTCGCTTCTATAGGTAAGCGTCGTTTATGCTTTTAATTCATTCTCTTTTATTTTGATTGCACCTACAGTTAAATGTGTTTTGGTATTTGCACTTGACTCGTTAGCGATTTTACACAATTATCATTTAGTGGTTCTTAACGTGTTCTTTCAAAAACAAAAACAAAAAAAAAAAACAAATTCTTTAGCGTTGAACATCGCGCTGCGCTACGAACGCTGTCTCCGCGTTAAATGCCAACAACAACTAGCCAAGTCTGGGAATATCGGCTTATCGATATACCAACTAGCGCCGATTCGAGTCGATGCTTTTGCAATCGCGATAGTTGTTTGTTAAATATATCGAATATATTTTCTTGCGCGCTAAAAATTCTCGTGTATTGTTTCTTTACACATTTAAATTAATTAATTTTTAATTTAAAGAGGTATACAAAGCTGATCGAATTTGTTGCTTACTTATTCATACTTATTCATATTTATACTAATTTAACTAGGCAAATCGCTGACATTGATTAACTTTGTTATGGTTACAGACATAATGCATTTTTATCGTATATATCTGCAAATAAATAATTTATAATTTAAACAAAAATGTACTTTTTCGCACCTAATTGGCCTAATCGACTCTTACAAACTTTTGCCGCGCAAATGCTTTTTCAGCCAATCTTAGTGTGCCCATATATTTCATAACTATGTAAGCAAATAATTATCGAGTCATTCGATAGGTCTGCGTGAAACTGGTTATATTCAATGTGACCAAAACAAGCCCAGTTGTGAATGCGAAAAGTAGCCAAGACCCTAAGAAACAGAGCGATTTTGACGTAAAATTTATATTTTCTGACATGACGGATGCACACTCAGGCACTGCGTACAACAACAAGACACTGCTGTAAGTATTCGAGTCCATTTAGCGGGCATATAACGAATCTTAACTTGCAGATGTACAAACATACCAGAACTCTTCCTCGACAAATTTGTGGCGCGCACGCATTTCAGCCGGTTCGGCAACCTGGTAAACTTTGTGCTGCGGCCTCGGCGCATGACCTGCACGGTAAGCTATTCCAATGAAGAGGAGGCTGCTTTGGCACTGCGTGAGGGTAATGTCTACAACGGACACGAGTTCGAAATGAGTTACGCAGAGAACGAGAGCACGCCGGCCCAAAAGACAGAGGAATGGGTCGACCCCGATGTCCAGGCGGAGCTCAGTGTCTTGGGTGGTAGCTGGCGCAACGAATATGGCGGTAGCAAACCAAACGCAACAAAACCACAGGCTATGACTGCAGCTGCAAGTCTCTTCGGCTCCAGCAAAATCGCTTCAGTTCCAACAAGTAGCAATGCTGAACGAGAAAAGGAGAAGGACCGGGAGCGTGACCGACAACGTGCGCCCGCTCAATTCAAGGTCGCCAAGCAGGAGCTGGAGGTCGTCATGCGCAAGCCGGCATTCACAAGCGAGGAGAAATATCGTGTCTTGGATGCACGTGACAAACTGTTGCGCCTGAATCAGAAACGCTCGACAACCGACGCAAAACGTTTACAAGGCCACTGCCCGGACATGTGTCCAGAAAAGGAACGTGTGCTTCGCGAATTTCAACGTCAAGTGGCAATTTATGAACTGAAACAGGGCACCGATGATCAGATCGCACATGAGCTCGCCCTGAAGCAATATTCGCGCAGCAGCGCCGATCAGGAGACACCGCTGCCGCACGAACTGCGCGCTGAACCCGTCCTACATATGACCATGAGCTATCTGATGCACGAGATAATGGATATCAGTGAGACAACGGATAATCTTGGCGATTGGTTCCATTTCGTTTGGGATCGAACGCGCTCCATACGCAAGGAGATTACCCAGCAGGAGCTCTGCTCCCTCGGCGCCGTCAAGCTGGTGGAGCAATGCGCTCGCTTTCACATCCACTGCGCCGCCCGCCTGGTCGCCGAGGATCCCAGCGTCTTTGATGCGAAAATCAATGCCGAGAATCTGACGAAATGTTTGCAAACACTCAAGTACATGTACCACGATCTGCGCCTCAAGGGCATCCAGTGTCCGCGCGAGCCCGAATTCCGTGGCTACATTGTGCTGCTCAATCTGGCGGATGCGAATTTTCTATGGGACGTCTCGCAGCTGCCCGTGGAGTTGCAGAACTGCAAGGAAATCCGACGGGCCATCCAGTTCCACTTGGCGCTGCAAGACACCAATTTCGTGCGCTTCTTCCAGCTGCTGCGCGAACCCGAAACGAGCTACCTGAGTGCCTGCATTCTGATCACCTATTTCATTCGGCTGCGCATTCTGGCCATGCATCGCATTGTGCAGGCCTATCGAGCGCCACGCAAATACGAATTCACCTTGCTGCCCGTCCAATATATACGTCAAATGCTGCTCTTCGCCAGCGACGAGGAGACAATTGAATTTGTCGAAGGCTGCGGCCTGACTGTAAACCAAGGGGATCGCGTTGAACTGACGCGCATCCACACGCCAGAGCACTACAAGCTGAGTCGTCAGTTCGAGGTGAGTGTGAATTGGAATCTTAGCCAACTGGAAACCTCGTTGATTCTGCTACTTTTGCTCTCACTCTAATTGATTCTAACTAACTGCTATCTCTCTCTCTCTCTCTCGCTCAGCTGGTGGAATCGAAGCGCAAACAGAGCGTCGGCGAATGCATTTGTGGCGAGGAATTGCCGGCGAAATCCCTGTACAGCAATCATCGGCCGCACAACAGCTTCAATGAGCAGGGCTACCTGAAGAGCAGCGCCTGGACAGCCAGAGATCAGCTGCCGAATGCCGAGGAGCTGGAAGAGGAACCAAGAGCAGCGTACACAGAAACATTGCCAACGGCAACAGAAGCTACGGCAACAACAGCAGCTACAACAACAATATTTAAGAGCCCCTCTCCCTCGGATAATCTGTTCAAGGTGCCGCAGTTTTCGGCGCCCATCTCGCCAAGGAGTAAGGCAGCCACGCCGCCAGCTCAAACGCCACAGCCGCAGCCAACGATGCCAGCCAAGACCTTCAGCTTTGAGATGCCGCAAAAGCAACCGCAACAGCAACAGCAACAGCAGCAGCAACAGCAAGCTTTTGGATTTGGCCGGAACACAGCTGAAGAAGCCAAACCGAGTGCAAGCACAGCCATTGGCTTTAGCTTTGCAGCTGCAGCGGCTGCCAGCATGGCAAAGAGCGGCCCAAGTGCTGCTGATCTTGCCGAGCAACAGCGACAGCAGAAGGCCGCCGATGATGCCAAATTTGCGGCACTGCAGCAGGCCATAGCAACGGCCAAGCAGCGTGAGCAGGAGCTGCTCGAGCTGCAAAAGGCGAAGGCAGAGCAGGCGGAACGTGCACGACAGCAGCTCCTGTTCGAACAGCAGCAGACCAAGGAGAAGCAAAAGCGCGAGGAGCAGGCACAGCAAGCAGCCGCCGCGGCTGCCGCAGAGGCAGACGCGAAGGCGGAGCGCCAGCGTCAGCTGCACATCGAAGCGGAGCGCACGACACAGCGCAATCAGCTGCTGGACCAATTGATCGATGAGCAATTGAACGAGCTGTGCGAACGGGAGTTTCAGCTGCATCACAGCGCCCTGGCCATATACGATGCGCTGCTGGATGAGCAGATTGTGGAGCTAGTCAGACGGAATATACGGCGCACCGACTACGAGCTGGGCCTGATACGGAAATATTGGCGACGTTGGCGCAACTACCGACGCGTGCAGCAGCAGAAGGATGCGCTCTTCGCCTGCCTGCCGCTGAGCTTCGGGGCTGAGTCGTGCGAGCGTCTGTTGAACACGAAGACGGCGGAGCAGCCGCTGCGCTTGATGCGTCGCTATCGCCAGGGCGAGGCCTGCGACTATCGCCAGTTGTTAGCGGGCATGGATGATCAATGCTGGCTGAAGCTCGACCTCTGGGAGCTACTGGCCCACACACTGCAGCAGGAGACGCCCGGCGCTCGTCAATATTTCAAGCTGTTGATCTCGCTGCCCGACAGCAGCGTGGGACTAGTCATGGAGCATGCATTGGATCGGGGTGTGCTGCAGCAGCCCGTTCTAGGCGAGAGCCAGAGCCAGAGGGCGAAGACGCCTGGCCAGGCTGCCTACATAACGGGACTGGCCCACGGCGTGGCACTGTGTGTCCACAAACTGAAGGGCTCGCCGCCAGCGAATCCCAGCCAGATGAGAAATGCCGATGGCATCATATGCTTTGTGGATGTGAAACAGGTGCCGGAGGCGCGTCAACGTTTGCATAGCCTGGTCAGGAGCAGCGGCTGCGACTATGTGGCGGTGATTGTGCAGCAACAGGAGACGGAAGAGGCACAGCTGGTGACGCAATTGCAGCTAGAGTCGTTGCGCGCTTTTCGCATCTTCGACTGCCGCACCATGGCGCGTGGCAAGCAGAAGCTACAGCTCGTCGCACTGCTCCAATGCGCCGTCCAATTTCTGGCCAAGCAGCCGCATCGCAGTCGCGGCTCACTCCAGCAGATGGAACTGCGCGAGTGGCTGCTCCGGCACCTGGGCGACGAGCTGTTTGAGCGACTGCGCTATGCAGCGCAAAAGGATATAGCCATTGGCTGGCGCTGTCGCCAGGTGCCTCAGTTCTGTGTTCAGCTGTACAACGAAGCTGTGCGTCGTCTGCAGCTGGTGGCGGGCGAGCAGCTCGAGGATCGGCCCCAGTTGCCGCAGGAGCTGCGCGTCTATGTGGAGCCGTTGCCACCCCAGGCACCGTTGCCCAATCGCCTGGAGTACTTTGTGAGTGGCTGGCAATCGCGCGAGCAGCGGGCGAAGATCGTGCAGCTTCTGGAGCAGGCCAAGCTGCCGGAGATGCCGCCGCTGCCGGCGACAACCGACCAATCGCAGGACGGTCTCTGTGAATGGCTGCTCAACTATGCCCAGCTGAGCGAGGACGATGCTCAGGTGGAGACGGTGGCGCTGCGTGCGATACAAACGCTGGAGTTGCAGCTGCGCACGGGCAACCCCAACTACCTGGACATTGTGGACATCTTTGCCAAGGAACGTCTCTATAATGTGCTCCAACGCAATGCCGCCTCGATACCAGCGGCCATTGTTTACCGGCGTCACACCATGCAGCGTTACTTTGCGACGCACTGGTACTATGATTGGCCATCGCCAGAGGAGGCAGCAGCAGCTGCGGCGGCGGCGGCAGCTGAGAATCCACAACAGGAAGAGCCGATCGAAGAGCAGACTGTACTGTCGTCCCAACGGGAGCCGCTTGACTATGAGCAGGTGCTGCGAAAGGCGCAGGCAGTACTGGATAAATGCCAGCAAGCGCATCAGCACCCCGTCGAACGTAAAACATTGACCGTTCTGAACGAACCGCTGGACACTCTAGATCGCATTATGGAACGCTGCGAGCGACATACTCTGAACGCCCCACACGAGCCACATCCGCATTCACATTCGCATTGGCAAACACGACGACAGGCCGAAAACTTGCCCATGCAGCCAGTCAACAAGCGACAGCGTCTCAGCGCTCCAGCGAGTGATGAGTGCGCAGATCTCTTGGATCGCACTGTGCGGTTACTCAACGTCAGCCAAACGACTGAGGAGAGACGCCTTCAAATACTACAACGTGCCAATAGGTTTATATAATTGTCGGAGCATTTATTTATCAATTATATCTGTAATGAATGAATGAATTAGGGGAATGTAATTTAAAGTAATTATTTAAATAAATATGTATTAGGAATTTACACTTTATAACGCAAGACTTTGAATTCACTGATGAAACTCAAACTACACTTCTTACGTTATGCAGCACTTGACACACATCGTGCTGTGTATTTTTACTTGTGATTTTATATAGGTTTATATATACATTTGTCTATCAATTTTAATATTTGATTAAACAAGTGTCGTACATTCATTCATTGTCAACTGAAACTAGCTTTACATTCACATCCCATCAAATCAGCGTAACATAAATTCAAATTCGGCGCCGCCAGAAAGTATGCTTCGCACGTTATGCGACACTGTCCGACTGACAATTTGTGCGCTGCCTGCTATCGATTGGAAATAGTTTAAATAAATATCGCACGTTGATTTAGTAGCAAATCCAAAAATTATCAAGTAGGCCTTGCCGGCTTTTCTACAGACAGTTGTTAAATTTGATACATTTAAGCACAGCACAGACAAAATTCAGTTGAAAAAGTACAATTTGTCTCATACAGATAATCCAAATTATATATTGCCGCGTTTCATAGAATTTCTAGTTATTTGCAAGTTACACAAGAGCCAGAAGAAAAATTATACGAAAGCTAAAATTAATAAAGTCCTGTACGTGTGAATATTTGCAAATTCTTTTAGACATTTTTACCATTTGTTTAATCTTAAGTCGTTTCGATTCGAAACCAGTTTGTTAACGTGAACAATATGAATAATCTTCCAGGATTCAGCTCGTTTCGTATGCTGCCCTTCGGAGGTATGGAATTAAATATGAATACATTTATTTTATACGTTCTTTTTCCAACAGCACTAGGCCGCTGGAGGCGTGGATTGTCCAAAACAATCAACACCCAGGGCGTTGGCCAGAGTCCAGTTTCCGCTATATTGAGCACCTATCAATCTGTGTGTTCTCGCCTGATGAGGAAGATGTCGGTGGCCATGATACGTCGGCGCTCAAACCTGAGCTTCTTGGAGAAGCGACCCATTGATGTACAGAGCAATGCAGCAGTTGGCTATGCACGACTGCCGGTCACAATGCGGTACTACCCAAAGACGCGCACCCAGAAGCGCAGCAACTTCGACTATTTCCCATTGATGATGCCCACATCGAATGTGTGGGCCAGTTTCCTTGCGCAGCGCACCTATGCGACACTGGGCGAGAGATTTGACAGAACCAAAGCAGTGAAACGTCCGAAAACATTGATGGATCGGCCATTGGTGCCGACGCTGGAATTCCAGCAACCCGAAAGCGAAACGAATGAGGGAGCGGCCCTTCCGGAGGAGTCCGTCATGCCGGTAAACAAAATGAGCCACGTGCTGAAGTTTTTGCGCGAGAATGCGAAGTCAAATGGCAAGAGAGAAGAGAAATCAGAAAAATTACAGACACCTACGTTACCCATAATGCATATACTTGATAAGAAGTATCAATTGGCGAGGACGCACACAGCGCACAGCTCTTCGCCGGCCACCCGACCCCTGCAGCCGGGTGCACTAGCAAAGCCCAGTGCACGCCCACAAAGCGGAAGCGTCAAATATCCGCTGTTGCAAAAGCTCTCAGCACCCGAGATGTCCTCTCTGAAAGCAACCAACAATGCGTCCAAGTATCTGGAAACGTATGAGACGCGCCTGAGGGCGTTACGTCAGTCGCAGCCACTGAAACTGAAACTGCCGGAGGCACTGCAAGACGATAGCTTGCCCCTGAAAACGCCCACAGTCAAGAGGAACCAGCTGAACTACCGCAGCACATACAAGCCACGTTTTAAGCCAAGCTCAGGCTCTCACTCGCCCAACGCTATGCACATGCCGGGCATCAAAGCGTACAAGAGATCGATGCCGCACAGGAGCACGCGCACGAGTAAGAAGTACAAGTATCCAATGAAGCCGCATAGCGAGCAGGCTCACCAGAATGCGGACGGTGAACATAAGGAACGGGATGACCTGAACAATTTGCTGGGCGATCTTTTGAATCAGAGTTCGTCCAAGCAGCAAGTTGAGGCGATCGAGTTCAATAAGACGGCGCCGCTATTCAAGCTGGTCACCACCAGCATGGAAGGGCGCAGCAAATTGCATACTCGAGCCTTTGAGAAGCAGCTGGAGACGCCACCGCTATACCGGGGTCCGCCAGTTAGGCAACGCAACCAATCGACGGGCGTTACTCGCCGTGCCATTAAATTGGGCCAGAAGGCGGCGGTGCGAGCCAAATCGATCATGGAGAACAGGCTGAGCTTGCTGCTGAAAGCCGACAAGCAGTACCAGGACGAGGAGGATGACGACGAGGACAATGAAGAATATCACTAGGGCCTGGCGGTAGTAACAGCTATGCCCCATAAGCATAATTCATGATGTGAGACTTATGCGCAGTGTGATGCAGTGTGTCAAATCCCAGCCAAGAAATCTAATGTTAATCTCTATCTCCAAACGGATCTCAGCACCCTATCGTTATTCATCAACATATGTATGTATGTAGTATGTATGTACGTTCGCCATGCCAAAAATTCCGGTTATACACATATTGAACAGGATATACCATGCCAGTGAATGTAACGTATCCAATCTTCTCGGATGTACCCTCAAATTTGTCGCGAATTCGAAATTGAAAGAAATATGTCAATTATTTAAATGTAAACAAGCCAATTTATAATGATTTTGATTACAAGAACTAGTATTTGTATTTAATACAAAGATATCAGCATTGAAAATGCCTTAAATATTCAGAATCGTCGTATTCATTTCTGGAATTTAAGACGTACGATCTATAAGATAATTTTTTATTTTTGAATAAATGAAAGTATTTAGAAAACAAAATTATTGATTATTCCTAAAATCAACAATTCAAGATAATTGAACAAAAAATGGAATTCTATAGTCGCTCAGACTGAGCCAATAAATATGTACTACATATTTTCATATCAGTCTAATCATACACAAAATATATGTACATACAAACATATATGTATATATAAGTACCCCTAAGTTAAGTAAATAGAAAATTTCCTAAAATATTTTTCAACAATTTCCATAATATTCTAGAAATCAGATACATCAGTTATAGAGGGCGCCAGTGAGCGCGACCAGGAGACAAACATTGCTATGATTTATACCCACACGCACACACGAACACACGAACACACACATGTGTACATTCACCTGCACTCTTTGTCATTCTCATCGTAAACATGTTTATCATAATCGATTCTGTTTACTTGGCCCAATCCAATTATTTCACCAAAACAAGTCTCAATTGGCGCAGCAAACACACAAAGCGAATGAAAACAAAAACAAAAACAAAGCGACTCACGCGATGTTTGCAGAATCGAGCAACCCTTCCCCTTCTCACACCACACTCATTCGCTGGCTATCTCCCTCCCACTCGCTCTGTCTGCTGGCTGCATGAATCAGAGCAACTATTTTTGGAACTCAATGCGTCGCCAAAGTGCAAGGTCATCCTTCCTGAGGGGCTCACGTGCTTTGAGGGCTGATCTCTTGGCGGGCGCCCAGCGAATGGAACATTTCACAATTTAATGCAAATTTTACAATGCAAATATAAATGAAATACATGTTTTTTTTTTTTTTGTTTTGGGGCCAACGACGCCGGCAGCCAAGGAGTTATTTTGTGGCTGGCGCGCGCCGCGGCGCTAAATTTCTATTGAACAATTTGACTATATTAAACAATTTGTTGTCTCATTAACAATATCATGAATTATATATGTAAATCTAATTGAAACAAACAAAAACGCAGAAAACCAAAATAAAATTAAAAAAAATCCCTACATCAAGCTCAACATTTCGCCATCGATTGATGAGATTTGGTTGTGTTCTTTTTATGTTAGATTTGTTATTGTTATTGGAGCTGCTGTTTTTGTTATTGTTGTTTACTGCAGATGATGCTGCACCTTGCACTGGCGCAGAGCCTCATTGAAGCCCTCGCACAGGGACAGATCGGATTGACCCTGAGCGCATTGCAGGAACTGTTTGATCTCCCAGGCGCAGGCGCCTTGTGGCTCATTGGCCTGGGCTTGCTGGCCATAATAGGGCTGCTGCTGTTGTGGTGCAGCCGGTGCGGCAGCGGCTGGCGCTGCGGCCTCCTTATCGCCCGATCCGCTGAACAGCGATGTGAGTCCATGTCCGACGGTGTGACCAATGGCCGAGCCAACGGCAACGCCGCCAGCGGTTGCAGCCATTTGCTGGAACATCGAGGGCTGCTGTGGTGCTGGCATACCAACGGCGCTTGGTGGTGCTGCCATTGGTGCTGGTGGTGGTGCGGCAGCACGTGCGGGCACTGGAGCCGGTGCCGGGGCAGCAGCGCGAGCTGGCGCCGGTACTGTGCTGTAATGCAGAAAAAGAATAGAAATTTATTAAAAATATAGTTCATGCATTGTTTTTGTCACGCGTTTGAACTTTGCTCGTTGCACAGTTTTCGTCTCAATTTCCGTGTTTATCTGTTATTTTCAGTTACGTAACAACTTGCGGCACGGAAACTTCCAGAACGCACTGTACAATTCATTCACCCGCAGTTCAATTAACGAACGTAGAACAATGCATCGCACATTGTTGCGACTGAGTTGCAACAAAGAACAAAACAGAACGTTTCATGTGTTCTTTATTCGTCATCCAATTTGGTGCCTTTTGTCCAATTGGATTTTCTCACGCTTTTCACAGGTGCACTGCGGAACGCAACTTACCGTCTGGCTGATGGTGGGGGGCTAGCTGATCGTCCACGGCGTACCATTTTGTTATTTTTTTTTATTTAATTTGTTTATTTAAAATTTGACACAAACGAGTTATTTAGTTATTTACGAGAATTTAACTGTGTAGCTTCGGGTGCTTTGCTTGGTTTTATAAACTTTTATGCGACACTGAGTTGCTTGAAATAATAAATCGATGTCGGGTGCTATCGATATTTTCAGTGTGGGTAACTTTACAAAATCTGAAAGAAGTAGTGTTGCCATATCAATGCAAATATATCGGTTCACTTACATATGTACGTTATAACGGTTAATGGCGGCGAGTTTTGAGCGAATTTATATTCGCGCATTTATATGTATTAGATGTACATAAAAAGAAAGGTTAAAAATGCGATTATTGCCAATTTTGTCGTTTGTATTTTATGCGCTGAACACAATCTCAGCCGAAGACCTACTTGAGCTGAGCTGCCTCACGGATGAACAATGCATGCAGTTCGAGGGCGGCAAATGCCTCGATTCTCGCTGCATTTGCACGGCACGTGGCGGCGGCAGCGAGGAGCGCGTGGATTGCCAGCCCAAAGATGAAAAGAGGAACAATATTATTGGCGGGCCGTGTCCCTGTACACTGCCACATGCCGAATGCGACGTGCAGACACAGCAGTGCTTCTGCGCCGTCGAGTATCTGCCCAGCGACGATAGACGCCGATGCCTGCCGGTGAAGGTGCCACTGGATGACAGCTGTGAGATGGCGCGTCAATGCCAGTCGATGGACACATTTGCCAATTGCCAGACGAAGCGTTGCATATGCCAGGAAAATTTTGTACCCTACGAAGGCGACTGCCTGTCACTATTGGGCGAGTGTCTCGAATTCCCTATATAATCATTCACATTCTGATCATTTATCCTTGCAGATCTGAGCTGCAGCGATAATACAATATGCGAAACAGTTGACGCAGCGATCTGTCTGCCCCAGACCGCCAAGTGTGCCTGTGCCAAAGATCTGGTGGCCAATCAAAACAGAAGTGCCTGCATTCCAGGCGTCGACTATGCCGCCAACTGCACAAATTCCGCCCAATGCCAGGTGCAGCTCGGCGCCGGCAGCACGTGCGACAAGGACAATCGCTGCAGCTGCAGCCCGACGCACTATGCCAAACGAGACGAGACGCTGAACAGTACGGTCTGCGAGCTGCGTGTGCCCTACGGCGCCTATTGCCGCCGTACCGCCGACTGTCTGCAGATGAGCGATGGCGAGGACAAGGTCCTGAACTCCCGGATGGAGTGCAAGTGGGGCGAATGCCAGTGTCGCGCCGAATTCCAGGTGATGAACAACGAGTATTGCGTTGTGAAAGATGCGGCGACGGCCAACCAATTATCTCTCTTCTTGCCAATCCTCAGTATCTGGCCAATTTATTCAGTGATATAGAGAAACAAAAAACACAGCCAAAAGCTGGTCTGAACATTCAAAATACAAATACACATACACTTAATAGCAATAAAAAGTATTAATTATTATTATTGTTGATTTTTAGAGGCCGATGCGAGCGGGCGTGCGGCGTGGCGTTGCATTGCCTGGCGTTGCGATCTCCTGCTTGCCCGCCAGCTGCTCCTCACGCTGGGCGGCCAGCTGTTTGCGCTCCTCCATCTCGTGCTGGGCCTGCAACATTTGCTCCTCCATCTCCTTGAGATGCTCGGCGGCCAGTTTCTTTTTGTCGCGTCCGCTGCGTCCCGTCTCCTTCACCGAGAAGAACATCGGACCGAGCTCCGCCAGCCAGTAGCCATCGACAGCGGTGGCGCACTGCATATACTCCTTGGCGGTCATGATCAGCTCATGGTAGACGACATAGTCGGGTGTGGTGCCCAGCCCGTACAGTGCCGATGTGGGATGCAAATGGCAGGGCATGCCCGTGCGCAGATTCACATACTCGCCGATGCCCTTGAGCCGTGCCGCCTGATAGAAGTAGGCGGAGCAGATGCACTTGCGCACAATGTCCCAATCGGTGCCGCACGACTTGACGTTCATCTTCTGCTGTGTCATAATGTCCTTCAGCTGCTGGCGCACCTCGCGCACCTTGCGCATGGCCTTAATGTGTATGAAGTGCTCGTTGCACCACGTGGAGCTATAGCTGCACGTGGCAGAGTAAAAGAGAGCGAAAGAGAGAGAGAGCGAGAGTGAGCGAGAGAGCTGCTTCATATGTCCTCCAGCTTACCTGTTCTGCTTCCACTGCAGATAGACATTGAGGTAGGTCAAGTGATCCGATTCGGGCACCTGGAACTTCTCACGCACGCCATCCGCCTCCTCCTCCCGTCCCTTGGGGCGATAGAATATGGATGGCACGGATAGCATGGATACTACAAGAAGAAGAGAGTAGAAGAGAGAATTCGAGTCAGTTTACCACAAGATTTTCACATCTCTCTCTGTCGGTCATCTCACCAATGATTAGCACCTCGGCGCTGCACTCCATTTGGCAGGCCACGATGAGCATCTGACACTGGGGCGGATCCAGTGGGAACTCGGCCATTTGTCGGCCCAGCGTGGTCAAGGCACCTGTGTGATCCAGTGCGCCCAATATCCACAGCTGGTACAGGGAGTTCAGGATGTTGTCCTGCGGCGGGGGATCCATGAAATGGAACTGCAGCAGATCGACCACGCCCAGGGATTTGAGCAGCAGCACCGTATTGGCCAGATTGGTGCGCTGGATTTCGGGCACGGTCAGCGGCAGCAATTCGTCCTTGTACTGGCGCTGTGTGTAGAGGCGGAAAGCCTGGCCAGGACCTGTACGTCCGGCACGACCCGAACGCTGATTGGCATTCGCCTGCGAAATGGGATAGATTTGCAGGGCGTCCATGCCAATGCGCGGATTGTAGACCTTCAGCTTGCAGTAGCCGGAGTCAATGACATAGATGATGCCGTCCACCGTCAGCGATGTCTCCGCTATATTGGTGGCCACCACGCATTTGCGTACGCCATCAGCGGACTTTTGAAAGATCTTCGCCTGCAGATCGGACGGCAGCTGCGAGTAGATGGGCAAGATGCTCAGCTGGGGTGCATTATCGATCTCGCTCAGACGCTCCTCCAGCACCTCGCACGTGACCTCGATGTCCTCCTGGCCGGGCATAAAGATCAGCATGTCGCCCTCATTCGGCGTCAAGTGCACCTGGAGCGCCTGCTTCACAGCCGACTCCACGTAATCCTCGCACGCATTCTTGCTGAACATCACATCCACCGGAAATGTCCGGCCGGGTATGGTGAATGTTGGCACATTGCCGAAGAACGTGGCAAACTTGGTCGAGTCCATGGTGGCGGATGTGACAATCAGTTTCAGGTCATGACGCCGTGCCACAATCTGCAATCGAAACGAAGTCAATTAAAATACTTGATATGTGCACAAGTAAAAATACTCTAGTCGGGGTGTCCCGGCTAGGAGATATCCTAAACTCTATATTTGCTAGAATATAAATAATGTTTTTAACAAGTTTCCAATCTCCAGTTCTTGTAGCTTTTGAGATTCAGGAGCTAAATTGCCTTAGCTTTTTAAAGAATTTATATAGAGTCCATACTCACGACTCCAAAGTCAGCCACGCCCCCTTCTGTCTCTTACATACATTTTAACAGAACCATTATACCTTGATTTCCCATTTTATACAATACAATTTCCCATTGTATACAAATCTAGCTTTAATATTTTGCAATCGAACTAGTATATTGAATCGCATACATGGTAAATGCCAAATCAATTGCAATGAATTAATCTGACGATTTCTGGGGCATTTCACTTGCTGCTACTCGATGCTGTGGCCTTGGAGTGACTGCAACCTAGCCACCCACCGAAATACGTGCGAGCATGACCCAAATCCAGAGCACCGGCCCCTGAGCTCAGCCTAGCTAAGCAGCGCATCAAGTCAAAGTCAGCCAAATTCATGTAGCAGCGCAGCAGCAGCAGCAGCAGCAACAGCAGCAAATATCCTGCGTCCAACTGCCCACACGCCAACTGTGTTGAGTTGCGACTGAAAAAGCGAACAACGAAACTCAACACACAAGAGAGAGAGAGAGCTAGAGAGAGCGCGCGAGAGCAAGTGTTTGTGCGAGCGTAAGCAACGCGCTCTCTGTGTTTCGACTCAAGCGATTTAACGATTTCACGAACTGAATACGACAACAAATCAACGATTGCCCACCGGGTTGGATGGTATGGATTGGGTTGTGGTGGGTTTTGCCAACTCGCAGCTTGGTGGGAGGGGGTCGGGCCAACGTGCTGTGTCGCACGTAGGCAGATGAGGATGTATAGTAGATCCTGTGTGCTGTGTCGGTGTATGTGTATGTGTGCGTGTGTGTGTTTAGTGCCTCTGATTGCATGCATGCCTGGGCCAAAGCACAGACAAAAAGCTCAAATTGCTGTTAAACTAATTCCGTTGCAGCACCTGCTGCAGCAACAAGAACAACAACAACAACAACAGCCGCGACGAGCTTCGCGTCACGGGCAACTTAACAAGCAAATTGCGCATTGGCTTGCAATGCGGTTAGAAAGAGGTGGGCCAAGCCCACAGCAACACACATTCATGCACACACACACGCGCATACGATGATTATTATGTGGCTTATCGATACACATACATACATATACATATGTATGCACAGATGTACCTACACTATGTACACATATCGCTTACAGATTGAGAGTGAAGTGTTTTTTATGACAGCTCACCAACGGCAACGGCAACGGCAACGCATTGATTCAAATTTTTATCTCCGAAGCCGAGCATTAAATAATGCTGAATAATATTCCCTCCTCTACGGCAATTACGATAGAGCATTTCGATATTATGACAGTTAAGTGTGTGTGTGCATGCACACACACACTGGTATCTATGTAGTTGTTTCTGTGTCTGTGTAAAAAGCTCATTTAAGATAAGGTGGCAGGCGAAGCGAAATCGGAATTCTCTGATAGAGACGAATGCAAATCCCGTTAAAAGCACGAACGAAAGCTATAATAACTGTAACTGTAAATAGAGCTGATAAGTTATTTACGGTGCTGTGCAGACTAGATTAATTATAGAACAAGATTTTAATTCACAATAATTGAAAATTCGAACATATTGATTTCACATATGTACACTTTCCTAACTGTTTAATTAAACAGCATATTGTAAATTCTTTATAGATGTGAACTGAGCTCATACCGATTGAGAGTTCCCCTTTTGGAAACGCCCCGAGTTCTCTGATATTAAATATTGCTTCACTCGCTAAACATGCAAAGTTGAATCGAGGTTTTTATCGCCTTCTCGAGACTTTACTGATGTTTGTGACTGATAACAATATTCTTATGAAATATTCTCTGCTTTAGATGTATATATGTTGAAAATATAGAATCAAATACATATATCTTTGGTTTTAAAAAGAAATATCGTTCAGCTCGTATGTCTAAAATATTAACTAATGGCAAATAATCTCATCAAGATTTGTGGTTAAATTTCAATCAAATTCTACAATTTTTTAGACTTTAGAATAAACTCACATTGATTTAAAGTTTCTTTTTTTACAGTTCAACCTTCATTTTCAGCTGCAAATGTTTATCAATGAGTATAGTATTTCAGCCCATAATATGTTTCCATAAGAACCCATACAGTAATTTCTAATCCAATATCTGAAACCTGTTTATACACATATTGCCAATGGTTTGTAATTAAACTGTTCGACTGTGGTACCAGGAACTGACACCTGATATCAAACGACTTTATCACTGAACATTCTGGAAGAGTTTGCAAACAAACTGAAAGTGGAGATTATGTGTATGCGCATACAGAGAGAAAGTTCGATTTCGAGAAAAATGTTCAAATTGGCTAATCACATGCACATGAGATATGTGCAAAAATAAGAACCGATTTGGTAATTACTAGAAGGACAAATAACTGTTATCTACAATCAACTGATTATCGCGGTTTGTTAAAATGATTCAATTACTGATTATTGTAAATTTCCAAAATGATTCAAATGCTGATTATTTCGGATTTTTAAAAAAGTGCTCAGATGAATCAGTTGCGCATTGTTCAAATGATTCAAAGATATCTGGAGATCTTTGTAGTGTAGAAGTGTATAGTAATGATAATAGTAGCTTGATTCACTAATCTATTTAAAAGTGCTTTAGATACCAAAGGGATTACATGGAATATGATTAATAAATTTAATTAAGATTATATAGATAAAGAAGAATTTTAAATAAATAATGCTCTCTAGATGATCTGAAAGTGAGATTCTTCAGACTACATAGAATATCTAATGGAACTATTTAGGGCTCTTAGGATATCAGTGGGCTTATATTAAGGAATAATATGATTTGTGAGTCTACTTAAGGGCTCTTCAGATTATAATGCGTAATAAAAGTAATATGATTAGTGAATCTACTTGAAAGTGCTACAGATAAGATAGAATAAAAATATATTAATATATACAAATATATATATGTATATGTATATATGGTTAATGAATCCATTCAAAAGTTCTCCATATATCAGTGAGATCATATGGAATAATAAATAATAATACTATGATAAGTGAATCTACTTAAAAGTGCCCCAGATATCATGTATAGAATGTGTCATATGCATTACGACGCAGCTCAAGTTATGAATTATTTGCCAAAAACAGAGTATTTCACATATACTTATATGTATTTCAGAACAATTGCTATCACACAACAAATATTTACTGACACTGACAAACTCCCTTTCGAAATAGAAATTTGGACTACAATCTGAATCAGTTTAACGGGCATAAAATGAAATTTCTATTTCGATAAGACCGAGCAAAGCGAACAATATGTGTATAATATGGATGAATAAAATTTAGAGCACGACAAGGTCGTCCGTCTAATGGCCCTACTTATAGCACTAAAATTGGATGAACTTTGAGCGATATTGATATTGTGAGATAACTGTTGTTCGACTCAATATGCAACATTTCATCAGCTGGATTAACTGCAAGTGTGACTAAGACAAATCACGAGCTGCACAGAGAGATAGAGAGAGAGAGAGAGATAGAGAAGAGAGAGAGAGACATACATACATATACAGCTGATACTGTAGTCTTATTTGATTAGAGTTTTTCTTATAAGCAATGGCATTCAGTGCTTGTCTTTATGAATGTATATCAATGTGTTTGGTACTACGAGCTCCATTTATAATTATTTTTTCGTTTTGTTTTTAGCATGGAATGCAGTATATCAATCTTGATAGCGATAAGATTTTTATTTTTTTTTTTTACCAGTATCCCACTTGAGTTAGGTTGCGACTTTTTCACTTGGAGCATTTACATATAGGGAGAGAGAAGCAGAGAGAAAGATAGGGCGAGAGGTCAAAACAGATCTCACAGGGAATGTCCATCAAACAGTGCTTGCTAGCAATAAATTAACGCTCTTCAGAGGGAAACAGGAAATTCGCATGTTTGTTGAACCATTCAATAAACTGATAAAGCTCGCCAACCAAAGTTTTTTTTTTTTTTTGTATGAAAGTCAAAATCAAAATCAAAATAAATAAATATATATGTACTTGATATATAGGAAATGCAATTGCAAAAATGCAAAAATCTCATTAAAAAGAGGAAAGAAAGCAGAAAAAAAAAAAAACAAAAACAAAACATTTTCGTCGTCATTTGTGGAATTTGATGGGCACAGAGCCAATAAAAATTCTTAGATGAGAATCGGGCCAGACCGCGATACATATATAAAGCTATACAAAAAAACAACAACAACAAATTCCATCTATGTATCTTCAGAGACAAAAAATATATATATATGTATATACTAAAACGTAAAATATATTTTAATTTTGATTGAAGGGCATTTGGCTGTAATTCTATAGATAGTTTACACTAATATAGACAAAAGACTTGACATATTTATAGCCATAGCCATATACATACATAGTTTGTATAATAACTAGCTATGAAATTAGTCAAGTAATGCTTATCTATATATATATATAGTTTACGAGCTGCAGCAAATCATTTTTATATATTACACTCGGAAACTATGATATACATACATATGTATGTATGTTTAAATAGTAATTTATATAGTATCATTTTATATTTGTATATTTATTATTATAATGGGGCATTGACGTTTTCCGTAATATCCATGAGCTGTCCAAGTCTGTTTGTTCTTGATCTTGAGATTGTCCGTTTGCACTGACAGACGGACGGATTCGACTCACGCGACCCGCCAAGCAATGCCCACTTGCCATATCTCTAATTAAATAATATCTGTATAATTATAAATCATCTCCCTACATCTTTATATTTGAACATTTATTACAATCAGAGAATAATGAGGGCAATTAAAAATACAATTTA